CAGTCAGTACGTGTGAGGATGATGTCGGAGAGGGGAAAATCTTTTTCCTTCAGCTAGTCTCTGCTGGGGCTCTGTACCAAAAGACCGAGGAAGAGAAAAACAAATTTATTAACGTCCATTTCACGTATAACACATAGGAGTACCCAGAGATGAGTACCTCAAGCATTTGGTAGGAACTTGGGTTTATATGTAGCAACTTTGAAAAATAACAATACATTTTTAGAGAAGTGATGCAACAAAGGAAAAGTAGCTTGAGTCTGTAGGGGTGGCACATTTTGGAAAGGTAGGTATCTAGGAAACTAATCGAAGATAACTAGTTAGTAAGGTCTGTCATGTAGGTTCCTCTGGTGCAGTCTCTGGGCTGGTAAGAGTCTAGTGTTGTCTCCAGTGATTAATTCCTTCCTAGTAGAGAGCGGAGCTGGGGACTTGAACAAATTTATGTTCTGCTCTTAGGCAAATCAGGGGAGGGCTGAGAGCTTTTCTTAGATCAGCTTCTCAATTGTCTTCAGCTAAAACTAATCCTTATCTCAAAGTAGCATATTTTGGGATCACATGTTTTGCTACCCTCCAGTAAGAAGAGAAATCATAAGGATGTTCACCATGAACCTGCATGAAAGGAATGAAGTGTAAGTTGGGCTGACCTACTCACTGAGGTGTGCCATCTGCTTCCACCCCAACCCAGCCAGCGCCTCTAGCATGTAGAAGTCACTGGTGCATTTGCTGTAAAAATCAAAGTTGAACCTGGACTCTTTTGTATCGTAAAGATAAAGTTGAAATTTCTTTTATACTCTTCTTGAACACTTTTTTCCATCTTCCCCAGAGGTAATCATTGTTCTAGTCTGGTGTACAAAGCCTTCCCACATCTACTTTAATACAATTTACACACATATATTACTGTTATCTATTTTTAACTTCATATAAATATCATACTGCATATGTCTTAATAAAACTTATGTTTTTAAAAAACTCAACATTTTTTTAATTTTAGCTAGTAATATATGTATCTCCTTTTCAGTTACTCTGAATCTTATGTATTATGTTTATAACTATATATGAAAAAGTAATTATTATATGAAGTAGATACTAGTAATTTCTCCATTTTTCGGATAAAACTGAAAGCAGAAATTAAGCAGCTTGTCCAAGACGTATAGCTAGTAAGAAAGATTTAAATATAAGGTCACATATTTTGCCTATTTTATTCCAATTCATTTGGTTCATACCTTTTCTTTTTATTGTCTTGGTTAGGATTTAGAATGAGACAGAGCAAGGCTGAGAGTAGATATCCAGATCTTACTCTTGACTTTAATTGGAATGTTCCTAAAAAATATTTAACATTAAATATGTATGCTGTAGGTTTTTACTAAAATCTTGTTAGGTAAAGGATGTTGCCTCTTTATTTATAGTTTGCCAAAACAAGTTTTATAATAAATATTACATTTTTCAAATGCTTCCTGTCTATGAAAAATCACATGATTTTTTTCTTTATACTGTATGTCAATCAGATTTTTTGTTTGTTTTAAATCTTTCCCATTATTTTGGAAAAACCTTACTTGGTCATTTTGTAATATGTTGATATCTATTGAATTGTGTTTGCTGAAGTTACATTTAGGATTTTTCATGTAGGTCGTAAGTTGAAATTGGTCTACAATTTTTTTAATGAATTATACTGTGCTTGTCCAACTTCAGCTTAAAGTTTCTATTCTAATAGCCTCATAAAATTTGTTGTGTTTCCCTCCTTTTTTGTTTTCATGAAACAATTTATGTACTAAAGCAACTACCTTCACCTTAAATATTTGACCAAGTGATAGATACTATGAATCATCTGAGTCAAACATTTTTGTTGTAAGATTTGACTAATAATTCAGTTTGGTAGAGTCATTGGTTTCAATTTTCTACCTTGAATGAAAATTACCCATTGAATCCAAGTTATTAAAGCAGTTCATAGTATTCCTAATAGTTCATAATATTAACTGTATTAAATATTCCTACTTTGTCTTTAGTTTTGATCCCCTTTCATTTCTTCAAAAACAAACACACGAGAATTACAGAGAGGGTCTCGAAGTAACAAGTGGGTGGTTCTTTGATAAAACTATAATAATGTTGGGAAAAGAAAGTAGAGAACCGCAGGAAAAGAGGAAGACCAAGTATGAGATGGACGGACTCCATACAGGAGCCAGAGGCACGGGTCTGCAGGGCTGAGGGGGTCAGGACAGTGCAGTCACCATGCATAGGGTCACCAGCAGTCAGAGCTCACCCAACGGCGTGGGGCACACACAATAAAATAGACATGCCTCTGTCCGGATCAAGAAAAGAAGTGAGGAAACACAAATAATATTAAATGCTGTTTGAGGTCTGTGAAGGGATTTCAGCCTAAGACGGAACATGAGAATCTGAAGTGGAGACTCGTGCATGGGCCCTCGGAACCTACTGCCTGAGAGGCTGATTGCCAGTAAGGGCCCGATTCTCAGCAGACCCAGACTTACCTTCTCCCAGTGAAAGCCATGAAGAATCGCTCCCTCCTCTCAAGGCAGGGAGCTCACTGCTTGCACGCTGGCCGGCTTCCCCTTCTTTGCACCCCTGGCCCATCAACACAGCCCTCCCCAGGCCTTCAGGGGCCTGCCCGTAGCTTGTTACAGCGGGTGTCGTGAATTGCAACCCTCTGCTGTCCCATCAACTCAATTCCTGGTCATCTGGGCTTGCCTCGGTCTGCCTCTTTATTTAGGTTGACAGTTCCAGTTTTAAAGTTCCTGGTTCTATGACTGTGGAATATCAAGCCCCTACCGGGTCACTTCGCCTGTCCACCTGTAGCCTCTTTGTCCTTCCACATGGCCACTGTCTCCTCGTGTCAGCATGGCGGGGGTGGAGGCAGCCTCCATGCCCTGTTTACTCCTCTGCCATCAGCTAGTCCAGTTGGAGAAGAAGGAAGAGCTGAACTGATTCATTGTGATGTCGCCAAGGCTCAAGCTCCGTGATTCGCTCTCACTCAGTCCCTACATTGTCTCAGGGACTATGCCGGATGATAGAGATTTGGAGATTAAAAAAAGACACACACCCTACCCTCAAGATTGTAACATGCTGGGAAGACACACATTCAATAGTAACTACACAAGCAGTTGCAGTGAGGAAAAGGACTACGAAAGAGAAGCACAGGGCCGGGCAGTCTGGGGGGATAGTGAGTGCTGTAGCTGAAGGGCAGAAGCAGGGCGGGAGGGCAGGGAGGGGCATATGGAGCAAGTGGCTTAGTGTGCCCAGGAAACCCAATAAGCAGGGCTGTCCTGAGCCTGGAGAACACAAAGAGGCAGAACCTTTTACTGGGGACTTTCCCTGAGAGCAGTGGGAAGCCGGCCACCGGCTGGTTTTTAGCACCACTTCTGGGTAAGCACCAGCAAGCCTACATTTCAGTGACCATAGATCTATAGTTATCTTCTTATTTTCAAAACAAAATCTTATTGTCCCTCTCAAAAAAGCAAGTCACAAGCAGAGTAGATATCCCACATCTGACACATTTTAATTAGTATATTGATTCTTTTAAACTATTATTTAAATTTGTTATAATCTATTAGCTTGAACTAGGTTTGCAATACAACAGTCTGGTTTTTAAACCTGTATTTACTGTAATATATATATTTTTCATGTTTTGGGGGCCTATATTCTGGCTGACTCTGTTCTTATCATGCTGACTGTTGTCAGTGGATTGCAGATGCTCCCATTTCTGTCATCTTGTCTCACATCAGAGCTCAGCAAATGTGCCACCTCAGTTTGATTAGCTGAAGAGTAGATTTCATGCTAATCTTGGCAATCCCAGCCTTTTATCTAATCTCTCTCAGTTTCCATACTGATTAAGTGGCAAAGGGGTGTTGGCAAAGGGTGTGGTCAAAGGAAAAGCAGTTGTAAAACCCCCGAAGTCCTAGCATCTCCAGTTGCTACATTAACCCAGGGATTCTTTATCACAGCATCTGGACTTTAGCAGAGAAGACAGGATGTTTTTCAGGAGCTCTGTTATTTTGTCTGGAGCACCTGGATAGAGCTTAATTATGTTCATTTGAAATGTATGTTCTAAGCTGATGTATTTGTTAGACAACTTTTTTGCTATTTCAAGTTGAATAAACATTTGAGTGTTTGGCTTTTCAGAGGTTTTGCCATTTAAAAAATTTTGTCCCTTGTCTATTCAGTGATTTACCAAAGGGTTTATAGTGATATCAAGCTTGGTATGAATCAGTTTGTAAATGTGCCCTTCTAACAAATGTATAGCTTTAGCAGATATTCCCTTAGGACTTCATAGTTCTATAATGAAACATTTAACAAAACACTTTTTATAAAATATATATATGATAGCCACATAAACAAGTGCAGTAACTTCTAAAAGTACTTAATTTTAAATGTCTATCCAATATAATGATGAACTAGTAACTCTAGTAAACTGGAAAAAAATGGGAAAAATTGAGGAAATGGCTACATTGTGTTTATCACATCCTTAGAGGCTTAATTTGAAAAAAAAAAAACTCCCTAATGACTACCTATCCATTCATTTCATTATTTTAATAGAAGTACTAACAAATAATGACATTACTAATTGAAATATTGGTTTTGACAAGTCCTTACCTATTTCTCCCTTAAAATGGCTCCCTGAAAATACCACAGGAGGTTGATGAATCGCTTGGTAATTAAATTCAAACTTTTCTTCTCTGGTGTTCAAATGGAAAAAACTGAAATGTGATAAATTCATACTGCGTTGTACAGAGTTGAACATTGATAGTGATATAAATATTATAAATGGTGATGCACATGCATGTGATAAGAATCTTTAAGATTCATAATGGAATTTGCTAATTTTGAATATTGACTTATCTTTTAAGTTCATTTTGTTTCTGAAAATTCAAATGCTGAAATAGTGTTTTATGAGCATTTTCTAATTAGCCAAGTGTGATTTTCCACGAAAAATTTAAACATTCTCATGCAGCGAACAAATCAGTCTGTCTTTTCTTCCCTTGTTTTGTCAGCCTCTTAGCAGATACCCTGCTGTGATAAATGACATTTCATTCTGGCTGCCCTCTGAGAATTACGCAGAAAATGATTTCTACGACTTAGTACGAACAATCGGAGGAGACCTGGTGGAGAAAGTTGACCTTATAGACAAGTTTGAACATCCAAAGTAAGTAAAACACTTTCTGATCTTACCCTTCGTTCTCACTATGTGACAAGTGGCATGCGGAAACGTAAAATAAGGTTTTGCTGAAACCCAATGGATATGAGACAAAATATCTTCTGAATTTATAGTGACTGTATAGCTTATCAGAAAAGCCTTTCATATCCATCCTTTCTGAAGATCTTTCTAAAATGCATTTTAATCTTTCCTGCCTTAGTAAAGAAAGTATGTGAAACAGAGTGTTTGAAGGATCTTGGAGTTTTTTAGGATTGCTTTGGAAGTGATTCTGTAGCATGTCACATCCCAGGAACGGGGTGAGGCCGGGAGGGGATTGTGTGGAGAAAAGGTGTTTTGTCAGCCTCCTGGTGACTATTTATTAAGCCAAAGTCGGTATGAGGCCCTAGGATAACATTTAATAACCTACTCAGGACCTCCTTGAACAGTGCCCCGCTCTCCCTGACACCCCCCGCTGTCTGTCCTGGGGGATTGCTGGTATTCGTGGGAGGCCCCCTCGTCTGGCCTCCTGCCTGTCGCTCTGTTCCCTGCCCCCTCTGTGAGAGCCCCCTCGCCGTGTCTGCTCTGCTCCTTCTAGCTCCCTGGCACACGCTCTATTCCGTCTTCGCTTACTCTGCCCCCTCCCTGAGCTCTGCAAGCCCACGTTTCAGTTCCTGTTTCCTTGCTATCTTTTCCCTGAGTTATTTCTGCTTCGTGATTTTCCTCCATAGAGAAATTGCTACATTTGGTTTTTAAAAGTTATTGTAAAATACTTGGCTGGAAACGTCATAGGATTCATTGGCAGCGTCTTTCTGTGGCCCCTCTGTCACAGCCCTTATTCTTGGAACTACTTTTAGTTGCCCTGTCAGTGGTCTGCCTGTGACTGCCTCTTGGTCGTTTATTTGAATGGATTAGATTTTCTGAACTGGCCACTTACACAGGGGTGAGGG